CCAGCCATATCTTTACTTTTATATAAATCAGTTTGATATTCACACACACACACACACACACACAAGATGGCAGAAAATGGGTGAAAATGTGTGTGTGTTTGTGTGTATTACTGATGCACTTGAGGATAGTAAACTTTATAACTACATATGATCATGAAAAGTTTAAACTTAGTATTTTATTGAGTGTTGCATATACAAAGAGAATAGTCTGTTGCTCTTTCATCAGTGGTAACCAACACCCAATTTATTTATGAAATAAGGACTGTTTCTACATTGTTTATCATTACAGAAATTCTCCTAACATATAGATGGGCTTCTTAACTTTCTAAAGAACACCAGAAAAGTGACATTTTCACAGATGTATAATGGGCTAAAATATCTTTTGATGCAGAAGAATAAAATAATTCACCTTTGGATAAGTGTTATATTGTTTAATGTTATAAAATAATTATAAAAATTATAATTATCAAAAGTTATGTATTATTAGAAGAATTACATAATTCTCAATTATGTTGAGAATTATGTTCAATTTATTTATTTTTTAAATTTTGCATATATAACCAGAGATTATTTTTTCTTTGTTTGTATGAGCTTGGTTTATAGAGCTCAAAAATATGCTGAAAACTTATAAAAGTTGGTAATTTAACCCATTAACAACTCATCATGGAACTTTTCGCTGGAAAATGCCACCCAAAATGGCATAATAATAATAATAATAAAGCTAAAATGCAATTAATCTTTGTACAGCTTTCCCTATTCCAATGGGCTATTTTGTTCTCTGTCAAAGTACTTGTTTACCATCCTGTAGATCTGGGCTTGGATGTTTACATAATTATTCTTTCACACAGAATGAAGGAAAAATAAAGAGGAGGCAGATATTGTCTGGGCAAAAGGAACAGAAGCCAGCAGAAACAGGACTGTGATTCCTAATTAATTCAAAGTTAATTGCATTGTTGATAATCTTGCACTTAAAATCTTCATATAGAAAATGTTTATGGAGGCAAATTGACAGTATTTCAACTACATTAAATCTTACCACCATTAAAATAAAAAGATGAATGTTACTTTAAACAAACTTAGGAGAATGGTAAAGACTAGTTCTTGTTTAACAAGGCAACTAGTAAATCATTCAAACAGCCGACCTAGAATCTCAAGTGCAATAAGAGCAGTAGTTGCATTTCAAGATGGCATCCAGCCATATGGACTGTCTTGGGCCATCAGTTAGGCTGGGTGGCAGTTTTGCTTTTATTTTCACTGTGTGATAAATGCAGAATAGTAGGGGAAAAAACACAAAGACATTATTTAGCAGCTAAGGTCAAAATGTTTATTATACTATTTTGGTAAGAGTTGAGACAGAGGTAGTTAAATGAAGATACATGTTATATTAGTTATTTTAACTAAATCAACATGATAAAACAAAATAAATTTTGGGCCGGGTGTAGTGGCTTACGCCTGTAATCCTAGCACTTTGGGAGGCTGAGGTGGGTGGACCACAAGGTCAGGAGTTCAAGACCAGCCTGGCCAACATGGTGAAATCCTATCTCTAATAAATATACAAAAATTAGCTGGGCACAGTGGTGTGGGCCTGTAATCCCAGCACCTCAGGAGGTTGAGGCAGGAGAATCACTTGAACCTCGGAGGCAGAGGTTGCAGTGAGCCGAGATCGCACCATTGCACTCCAGCCTGGGCAACACAGCAAGACTTCATTTCGAAAAAAAAAAAAAAAGAAAAAAAAAAAGAAAAAAGGAACAAAATAAACTTTGGTGTTATCTTTGAGCTTAAATTCTGTCTCTGTTACTTATAAACAGTGAGGCAAACTTCTTTTCGTATCTTAGTGTATCAATATGTAAAAAGCAAGATTAAAATAAGGCTAGAATAATTCGATGAATGTGAAATTGACTGCCATTATAATGGAAAATCAATAAATCCTAGCATTATCTAGACTAGTTAAAGCAAAATATAATTATTGAATTAAAATAATTCTCTACTTTGAATGTGTAGAAAGACACATAATTATGTGATGCCTAAATATCTTGATAATCCAATTTGTATCTCAGGCCATTTTCTAAAAACTTACTTCTCAGAAGGGTCATTTATTGACACTGAGACACAAAAGATTTTGGTGTGGCCTGTGAACTGTTAGTGGCCCAATTTTGTGCTTCTGAAACTACTTCCTGGTATGCATGGTGAGACATATGTACACTAAGTCACAAGATAAATATTACATTTTCTCAAGTTTCAATTTTACTCAAAGTTTTGGAAAAGAAAATATATTGTATTAAACACTGGTAGATTAGGGAAAGTATACACATTTTCTCTTCTTTACCTTTAGGGGTATTCAACAGAAAAATTTTATAAGCATTGACCTAACGAATATCTCTACTACTCATCTAAATGTTACTTAATAATATCAAATAATTAATATTTCTTATTAAAATATAAATTTGGGGGGCAACAGGCTGTCACTTTATTAGTATCACAAGAAAAACTGATTTTTCAAAATAAATATTAGAGTTGTTTTGATAAATGGAAAAAAATTAAATGAACATTTTATCAAGTTAGATGCTTCAGCAAATTAATCTGTTTACCATTCACGTTGGAAAAAAAAACAACTAAGAGAAACCACTGTGCTATCTGACCTGCCCCAGTGGGGTTTCTACCACTCAGGAATGAATCCAAATTTAAATTTTCTTTAGATAGATTCCTCACATTTGAACTAATTTGGATATTTACAATCCAAGTTAATAGCTAAATAGTTTTACAATTTTTTCTTAGCCATCAAAAATAAGAAGCATGAATTCAACTGTTTTGATTTTTAGATCCCACAATTAAGTAAGAACATGTGATTATCTTTCTGTGTCTGGCCTATTTCTCTTAATATAATGATCTCCAGTTCCATCCATGTTGTTGCAAATGACTGGATCTCATTATTTTTTATGGCTGAATAGTACTCCACTGTGTCTATCAATCATATTTTCTTTATGCATTCATCTGTTGACAGACAAGTAGGTTGCTTCTGGATCTTCCTACTATGCACCCACAAAAAATAAAAATTTTTAAATTAAAAAAAATTTAAAATAAGAAGCAGTAGGCTTATAGGAAATAACTGCAAAAACCTCCGGGTTGCAATTGTTACATTATGGGATTTTGTTGAGGAAATTATTATATAATTTCTGAAATCTTAATCATCAAATAATTTCTGAAAAAAGAATGAAGAATGTACACTAAAATAGAAGATGATAAAAGAAATACGAATTATTTAACACTTTGGGAGAAAAAACTAAACAAGACTTGGGAAAAAAATTAAAAAATAAACAAGACTTGGGGTAACAGATGCCTTTATTCTTAGGTTACACAATGACTCTTGGATATTAGATGCATTTCAGTGCATCTACAGTGAAGAAACCAAGTTCTTCATACCATATGACTTGGAGATTTCCAATCAGGAGCTAAGTTATATAGTGAAACGATCTGAGCAATGGAGAGGAATCAATGGTGAAAGAAGAAAGGTGAGTTGGGTTGAAGGAGCTTTGTGTTTTGGACTGCTCAAAAAACACTCACTCTGCCAGTATATCAGCAAGTTGATAATTTTCTTGTGTTGTTCTTGAAGTTATTTACCGTTGTTTTGGCCACCATTACACAAATCCTTACTATTTTTTAACTGCCATTTGACCTGATTATTTCTTACCTCTTCAGCCTCATGTCCTGTATCCCCATCCATCCCACCTCTTCCCAGTCAGCATGCTTCTTACCACAATATGATTAAGCTATATAAAAATATGAGCAACTCACCACCCATGCCATACTGTTTCCCATGTCCATGCATTCCTCTCTGTTTGGAACAATATCCTCCCAACTTCTCACATGGTATTTGGTAAACTAATCATTCTTCCAGGGCTCAGCTTGAGTATTTTCAATGTGGAGTCAACCCAGAGAAACAGTTTAATCCAAATCATTTGGATCTTAAGTGAAATATTTTAGCATTTTCTTTTTGTCAAACCTACTTGTCTTACCTGACAGCATCCAACACACAATTTGAGAACTACCTGTTCCTGTGTCCCTCTTTCTTTGTAGACTTGAGATATCCTTGAGGAATAAGAGTGGTTTCTTCATCTTTATGACCTTAATCTCTGTCCTCAGTCTTCATGCCCTTAATCTCAATCTCTAGAACATAGCACTTGTTTACTGGCTATTTGTTCAATACATAAAAGAATGCATGCAGGAATGAATAGTTGAATAATTGAATATATTTCGTTAGCCTACAGAATGAACTTATACCTTACCTCATTTCCTACTTGATAGGAATGTAAACATTAGCTTTAAAAAAATTGCATGGGCTCACTCAATATAATCAATATGTCTTGAATTCTGTTTATTTGAGAGTTCATATAATATTATAGCAGGCATTTTCAAAACCCTAACTGGAAGCAAAACAAATTTCATGTTACTATGTATTTGTTCTGGTTACTTCTTCTTCAGACATCCTTGACTAACAGCATAATTTCTAAAATACCAAAATTGTTGAAATTATCCTAAAAATTAAGCAAAAAGCACTTCCTCTTTAGGATAATTTTACAGTGCTTGGAACAGGTAGAGTGCACGTTGTTTCATTAATAAGTGTCACAACATGGAAGTTCGAGAATTTGGGAACAATCCAAAGTTGAGTACCAAAAGAATTTCAGTTGAACAACAGTACCTAAATAGATAAAACAGAGGAAAACAGAATTACTTGACTATTTATTATGTCTATTTTAACAAGGGATGAGAGAGTGTGTATACACATGAGAGATAATTAAAATCTAGGTGCTAGAAGAAAAATTGAAGGAGGCTGTGAAATTATTTAATTCTTTAATATTTATGCTCTTCTTAGTAAAATGACTTAGCTGCCCCATGATGGATACGACTAGAACTCAGAAACAGACTTCAAACCTAGAATGTCCATAATTCTGTGTGTAAACATTCAAATAAATCAAAGAAAAGACAATTTAATTAAATGGAATTGAAGTAAACAATTTAATGAAAGTCATTTGGGTCTTAAGTAAAATATTTTGGCTTTGATTCAGTTGAACTATTAGCAGAAACTCAAATTTCTAGATAAATGGCAGCTGTTGTCTTTACATGTATAGACTCAGTAACCGTGAGTGGTAGGAATTATAGAAATGTTTATGCAAATCATTTGAAAATCTGTAGACCACCTGTTATTTCTTGTTGTTGTGGTTATGTGTCTTAAGCATACACAAACATTCCCAAACTTACATGAATAGACATGTTTATTTTATTTGTTTATTATGACTCTTCATGCCCTTGGTATTTACACTGTGAAGATATTTTCTTTCTTACAATTTTTGTGTGTGATTCTTCTCAAGATCTCTTATGTTTGCTTGTTTAGTTTATTTTAATAGAGAAGCAAGGTAGCCCTATTGAATAATTGATGTACTAATCTCAAGATATAATGCCAGTTTAATTGAGAACAATCATCTATAATCTAAAATGCTAACAGTGGAGTAGGCATTTTCATATGTAAGTATTTCAAATAAGTAGTCTAGAATTCTTGTGCTTTAAAAATGTGATCTAGATGTTTGCCATAGTGCTAGCTATTAAGCATGTGCTTTTCATTTTTATGATCTGGAATAAAAATTGCCTCATAAATGGATACTTTATAATATGCTTAATTTCCTTTTATTAAATTGATAAATGCAGAAGCACAGGACACATTTACAGTATGATGAGAATTCAGAATTATTGAGTTTTATAATTTTTATATTGTTAATACATATAATTTGTCATTTGTGCAAAGGCAGCCGGATGATAATTTCCAAGTATTTTAACCATTTTTTTGATAAGGAAAAGGTCACTTTCAGTAGTCAGAAAAGACATCATTCTATTAAACTAATTTGCCTACATGCAAATTTTGTCATTTGTACCTCATTAACTATTTATCATGGGGTAAAAAAATATATATTCATGAAGGGGCAGCTCACAGCCTGATGGAGCTGGAACTAATATTTTGCAACTCTAATGATTTTTTGCATCTTTAATTAGATAGCATAAGGTTGATATGATTAGGTCAGGATGTAGTGTTTTTCATTAAAATACATTTTAGAAGCTGTATTCATAATCTGCCCTTGCAATTAAATAATGAGCCTATGAATTTAATATTATCGACCCAGTTATTATCCCATGCAAACATATACCTTTAATAAATTTGTGCCGTAGGACCTTCATTAGCAACAGAAAGAATGATATTTCTAGGTACACAGATTTAATGGCTATGGTTAAACTTATATAATGGTTTTAAACATCGCAAGAATCAAAGCTTCAATACCTAGACTTTTAATTCCAAAATGCGCCTTACTATTTGTTGAAGACTAATTTACATTGTAATTATTTTCTTAAAGAAACTACCACTTTAAAACAGGCTATTGAAGCTCATAAAAATAGCAGGATATTAGGCAGAGACGGGGGATTGGAGAAAGTTGTGTGTCATGGGACAATGGAGTGTAAATTTAGAGACCCATTCAAGAGCAAAATTGGAAAGCATAAAAAAGAAAATGCCTATTTCTCAAGTGTCTGTATTACCCAGAAACAACCATAAGCAATTAATGAAGATTATTATTTTAGGTGTTGTATGTTATAATAGTTTTTGCTAATAGATGGTTGTAGGATGGAAGTATAAAGGTCCTCTAAAAAGGAACTGCCCCCACTTATTGTGAATATGTGCAGGAAAACTTACACATAAAACTAACCCTGTTTCGTCATCTTTTTGTAAGTGTTGCTACTGATCTGTTATTTTTGTTCACCAAAATAGAGACTGCAAACATTGCTTGAGATCTTTAGTTCATTCTTTTTGAAATTTTCTGAAGGTTATATGCAATTTATAATTTTTTAATAAAAGGAGATAAGAGAACCATCCCACATTTAGTAATGATTACATAGAAAGGTAACTTACACACACATAAAACTAACCCTGTTTCCTCATCTTTTTTTAAGTGTTGGTACTGATCTGCTATTTTTGTTCACCAAAATAGAGACTCCAAACATTGCTTGAGATCTTTAGTTCATTCTTGTTGAAATTTTCTGAAGGTTATATGCAATTTATAATTTTTTAATAAAAGGAGATAAGAAAAACAACCCACATTTAGTAATGAATTACATAGAGAAGTAAAGCTAAGTGTTGTTATCTACAAAGCAAACTTCAGATGATGTGTTGGTGTGATGACAGTGTTTTCCTAGAGAGAGAGTTTATGTCTACTTGGAGGATACAGTCAGGGTGGGGAGAAAAGCTTTGATTACAGTCATGAAGGGCAACATTGTAGCCATGCAGACAGAATGGAGGCATGTTGATGGAAATTTGGGATGGACTGACTTAGACTCTTCCATGCAAAAGGAAACAGCGAATAGAGGTATACTGATAGGAAATACCAAGGCAAGTTTGAAAACTAAAAGTAATTTGTTTTGACTGGAACAATGGGCAGGAGGGTGAAGATCTGCAGGAGAGGTGGACTGAAAACTGGAAATTGCCCAGTAGTGGGGACCATGTATTTATCATAGGCAATGGGGAGCCACTGAAAATTTTAATGAAAAAGAAGCAACTCATTCAGTCAAGCATCTGGCTTGCCTGAGCATTGAACACTATAAATTGCTTATTTTAAAGCTCTAATACTTTTACCTCTTGGGAAGTATATTGTTTCATATCTGTCTCTTATACACATCTAGATGTGTATAAGAGACAGCACACACACAAGATGGCAGAAAAAGGGAGAAGATGTGTGTGTGTTTGTGTGTATTACTGATGCACTTGAGGATAGTAAACTTTATAACTACATATGATCATGAAAAGTTTAAACTTAGTATTTTATT